CTCTGCTTCCCCCCCTCCCCACACCTACAGGGTTGATCTCCCATGGCAGCCCCGCTTCCATGGATGCCCAGTTGCCATCGAACCAGAGTTAGGGCAGATGGTCCTTGTACAACAGGTTGTAGATCCGATAGGGTCCCAGCCAGAGCTGTAGGTAACCAGGGATTAAACAAAAAGAAGAAGAAGAAGAAGGGGGGCAACATGTTGCCGCCCCCCCCGCCCCGGATATCCCAAAATTGTTCCTGCTGGAAATGGGAAGGAGTGGGGGCGCTGGCTGGCTGACCCCCTCACAGCTGGGAATCCAAGGAGGCTGCGGCGGCAGCAGGAGGATTTCCATCTTCAGACCGTACCTGCCCACTTCCAAGTCTGCTCTCTAGGCAATCCCCCTGAGGGCTAGAACCTTGACTCTGTTCCTTGCAAGGGAAAGTGAAGCTTCTGACCGGGAAGCTGCACTGCGCAGCTGGTTCTCTCGCTTGGATGTGCTGCTGCCGTGGTTCCCGACTTTCAGGACCGCAGCTCCCAGAATCCTTCGCCACCAGCTGTTCTGCCCCAGGGGTTTCTGGGAGCTGCAGTCCAAGAAGCCCTGGGTGACCCAAGCTCAGCCACTGAGCTTGCCCAGAGAAAGACAGGTGGGATGCTGGCCGCCCTTCCTGGGAGCAGCCTGTTTCCTGGGAGCGGCCGCCTGCAAGAGGTGAGCAGTTCCCCCCAAGGAAGCCTGGCCCTGCTCTGACGACGGCTTGAGCCTCCTTCTTTTAGCCAAACTGGGGGAGTCAAGGGAGCCGTGCTTTTTCGGGAGCCACCAGCCTTCAAGGCCAGCACCGTCCGGAGGGAGCCGGCTTGGGTCTTGCAGGGGGCGGGAGAGCCTCTCCCAGTTAGAGGAGGGAAATGGCCGGCCTCTTCCCGCCCACGGGCTGCCCCCCACGGGTTACTTCCGGTTGCTGCCGCCCTGTGTGACCCGCGTGGCTGCCCCAGGTGCTTGGAAGCCGGGGGGTGGTGGTGGTGGTG